AGGATACTTGGTCAAAGACCGGAAGTCGTGAGCTGCTTGAGTCATATGTAAAAGAATCGTTTCTGGCCACTCCCACGTGAATGGCGATCAGAAAACTTTCCTCACTTGCGTGAACTTCTACACATGACTCCATCCTCCACTTCTTGAAGATTATCTATTTAAAATTTTGGCTGCTTCTACGTCTCAGTCTTCGTCTGTTGAGCACGATTTTTGATGATTCGTTCGTGCATTCCTGAATCGAAGCGGGGTTGTCCACATAGACTTTAGAATTTACTTACCCCACAAGAAAATATCTAAGGGGTGAAATCACACTATCTTCGTGGCCAATCAGCCGTTCAAAAACGCGAAATTATCTGCTCTCCGAAGTGTTCTCTCAATAAATCCGCCTTGTTGCCGTTTTGTAAAAACCAACGAGCTTCAATTAAAAAAAAAAAAAAAATTACTGATGATTCAACCGGATTACCAATCACATTAACCATTTATATTCTGGATGAATTGGTATCTCTTCAATCTCTTTAGGTTGCTCAACGGTCCAATTGAGCCAGAAATGTCATTCAGCACTGAATAAAATTTGGTTCGGAAACATCGTATCCTCTTGGAATAGAGCGATGTCACCTGGGAAGGTCGAGCAGATCCAGCTCTTGCACAACTGTATTTTGAACGCTTTTAAGATCTCGACGTAAAATGCGCCAAGTTCTTTCATAGGTCAGTCCGAGTGGCTGCGAACAACGCCGAATCGATTCTCCAACCGCGTCTTTAGTTCTGTTATCTTCAGACTGGATAAGCAAGCGAAGCAAGTGGATGTGGTGGAGAACGAGGGCAAGAAAAAATATCTCCTGTCATCAAATAAACAGTCATCGCACTGGCGAATTGGATCCCATGTCACTGCTGAGAGTTGTAGATAATTTCGTCTATCTTGAAGAAAAAAATTGTATTTTCATATATCATTTGAACCATTCAAAATAATTGTCTTCTTCTTCTTTATCGGCATTTACGCRGGTATAGCCGAGTTTACAACAATTCGAGATATAAAGTGCATCTTCCCGCATACTCGATCTCTCCAACGGAGTGAAGGTCTTCCTTTTCCTCTGCTCCCGCGAGTACTTTGTCGAATACGATATGTATGAGCTAGAGTATTTTCTTTTATTCGGACGACGTAACCTAGGCAGCGTAGCCATTGTCTCTTAATTCGCTGAACTACGTAAATGTCGGCGTATTTCTCGTACACCTCTCGTTCCATCGCCTGCGGTAATCGCCGCCCATTCCTCTGCGCCATACAGCACATTGGGGATGATGAGTGATTTGTAGAGTTTGGTCTTAGTGGGTCGAGAGAGGACGAAATTATCTACGACTTCGACAACTCTCATAGGTGCGTTTCAAGCGCTCATTGAAGACATCTTTGGTCACATCCTTCTCTTCCGTCGCGTCGTGGGTGGCAATGTGTTGAAGAACCTCTCGTTGATGCGGATTGTGGCCAGACGTTAATACAGAGTCTCTTTCACCGAATTTGCGCTATTAGTAAAGACAGATTATGCGTTTGTATACTTTTTATAATCACTTTATTAAGTATAATTTTGCGTATAGAGGCATATACTTATAAGTATAACAAAATCTACTTCCCAAGAGATCATTTACGGTTTATTTCTTAAAATTGTTATTAACATTTACATTAAATTAAATTGTAATAACGATGGAGACTCCAAACTTTCAGCTCTAATTAATTACTGTTACTTAATCACTCTTACTCACGTCAAAACAAAAAAAAAAAAAAGTTTACGGATGTATCAGTGGAACATGTCACGTGTTGCAGTATTGAAAAATGCATATTTATAAATGGAGGAATCGACGAACGTCGACTACTACTTTATATACTACCAGCTGATCCCACAGGCGTTGTCCTGTGTGAAATTATGTGTTTTGAAATGAAAAGAAAGTTAAGTTTCTCATTTCTTTTTCTTTTTTTTCAATGTAAACAGCTTGATAAACAACATTTTTCGGTTTCTGTTCTAGTGTACAGAAAAGATGGTTTTCCAACTCGTGAGCACGCCACGTATATCTGGCCGTGTGAAAAACATAGCATTTCCAAATTTATGGCACACACTATGCCTTGTGCCCTGTTGACAACTTTGAGACGCAAATAATGCCGGGTATATCAAGCCTCTCCAAAGAATTTAGAAATTCCAATGGATAATTCGCGGCTTCGCTTTCATTGACAAGACATTGAGTTCATCTTTCGTGAATTGATAAATGGTAGATGGAATTGCTAACAAACCACTGGAAGTATCAAATGGAATTGACCCCTTTCCAATTCTTAGCGAATACGATATAAAATGCCTTCGGCAATGTCATGTTTGTTGGTATCCCATAATTGACGCGGGTTTGAAGGCTGATATGTTAAAATGATTATCGCGAAAAGTGTGCAACCTTCATTTGCATTCGAAGTAGCTATCGCATCGTACATTGTTTGATTCCAGCACCATATATAGTTGCTTCAAAATAAAGTCAATCAAACATCGTCACTGTTGTTTGGAACGTCGTGCTGTGACATCGTGACGATCGCTTGGTGTTTGACCGCGATCCATAGTTCCGCACGTATGACATCGCATCCTGGAAGTACTCCGTCATGTGCCTTGGACTGCCAATGTATGTTGATGCCAAAAAGAACGCCGACCATTATTAGAGCGATCTCTTTGTGGCATCGTAACAATTTTCAATATGTAATTGATCACTTTGTATGAAACACACATAAAGTTTTCACTGAATAACTTTCAATAATTTTTTTGTTTGAATAGCCGGAATTAAGAAAGCAATTGACAAATTTGAACGATTCAAATAATTACAAACCAAATAAAAAAAAAAAA